AGAGATTGTAGACACACACACACACACAAATGAATAGTTGAGCAGAGTCTCAGAGCCAGGGTAGAAGTGGAGTGGGATTGAGGAGCAAGTAAAGATGTTAGCTTGGTAAGCAGGAGGACCACTTAGGAGAAAACTTGGATCAGATACCTTATCCCTATGTTTCCAGGACCCAAGGTTAATCTGATAGTGAGGAGGCCTCAGAGTTGAGAGTTTGAGAAGAGAAGAGTACGAAAGTTTTGAATAGCTGCTATGAAGAATTAGGTAATAGAAGAATAAAATAATTGCTAAAGGTCTCTGAGGCCCAGGTGAAGTTATGTATCATGACTGAAATAGAGCACAAGTCAGAAATGAACTGGTTTGACTAAAGCAAACTGCTTTAATCTCTCTCTGCTCTCAGCTTTAATTTAATATTGTCATTAGAAGTATTCTACAAGTGTAAGTGTTCTCAAAAGAAATTTGTTTACTCTGGCCCAGCAGTTTTGGATTCTCAGTATACACGGACCAAAGCTGATATTGGGTGCTTCCTCCTTAAAAGACTCTGGCTCGTTATCCTTTCTCTCAGAGTTTTCTCTGGGAAATTTCCAGTTAAGTCTCTAGATCTCACACAAGCACTAAAGGTTAACAAATGGAAGAGTCTGTTGTTCTGTACTCCTATCACTTCAAGGAATTGCAGGTGTCTAAGCCAAGTAATTAATCCATAATCATTGACATCCTTCAGTATGATAGTTTGGGTGATCAAGTGAGCTCATAGACTGATTAATAGAAGTAATAGTGGAAACAGCAAGTATAATCAGCCTTTAACCTTGGGATTTTGTTTGGTTTCTCATACACAGCAACGTCTACTCTTTTGAACCCTTGACATTACTTGCTAAAACTGTAGTGAACGTGTTTCATTGTTTCATTTCATTATAGTGAATGTTTCATTTTGGTCTCACCTAGCTGAAGCAACTAGTCTGATACTACTATGTGCAAGGTACATAGGTACTGAAATCAAAAGAAAAAAAATAGCCCCATCCAGGTTTGTGTTCTGCTGGGGAGATAACAACATTTACACAGATAAATAAAAATAATGAAAAGAGGGAGAACTAACAACTAGGAGGGTCAGGGTAATGTTCCTTTGGGACAGGATTCTTAACCTTTTTCATCATGGCAAAGTATGAAGCCTATGGATTCCTTCCTAGAATGAAGTTTTCTAATGTACTGAATAATAATATGCCTAAAATTGCAAAAGAAACCAATTAAGTTGAAATATCATCATCAAAAACATTTTTTTAAAGTTCATGAATTCCAGATTAGGAAACCCTATTGTAGGAATGGTACCTGAGTTGAACCTTAACGGAAGGCAAGGATTATAGGATTCAGAAGTTAGGAATTAGTATGTTGCAGACATGCAGTGCAGCCAACTCAGAGTCATGGAGGCAGGAAATAGAATCTCAGGTTTGGGGTAATAGTTTGCTGGAATAAAGGGCATATGTGAAGGGGAGTAATGTAAAAGCTAGAGCCAGATTGAAGGAACTGAAATTTGTACTTTAGCCTAGAAGTAATAAGGAGCTTTTCAAGGAAAAGAATGATGACTTGTACTTTAAAAGTATTTTGACATATTTGGAGGATTGTTTGGAGAAGAGAGAGATTGGAAGCATGGATGAATTAAAATACTGCTGCATTGAGCAGGTAGGTGTTGCAGTGGATAGAGCTCTGGCCTTGGAATTAGGAGGACCTGAGTTCAAATCTGACCTCAGACACTTGATACTTACTAGCTGTGTGACCCTGGGCAAGTCATTTAACCCTGATTGCCCCTGTCTCTTTCTCTCTCTCTCTCTCTCTCTCTCTCTCTCTCTCTCTCTCTCTCTCTCTCTCTCTCACACTCTCTCTCTCTCTCTCACTCTCACTCTCTCTTTCTCTCTCTCTCTCACACACACACACACACGTGCACACAAATCGTTTTGCATTACTTCAGGAGATGGGTAATAAGTGCCTGAATGGGGACAGTGACTATGGGAGAGTATAGGACAGATTAGAAGGATTTTATAAACCTCTTTGTAAATATCAATTAGACTTGGTAAGTGATTGGGTATGGGGTGATAGGGTTAGGGAGAAGAAAGTGTAGAGGCTAAATCTTAGGTTGCTTACCTGAGTGAATGAAAGTATGTTAGTAAGGGCAGCTAGGTATCACAGTGGATAGAGCACCAGCCCTAGAGTCAGGAAGACCTGAGTTCAAATATGGCCTCAGATACTTGACACTCACTAGCTATGTGACCCTGAGCAAGTCACTTAACCTCATTGCCTAACCAAAAAAAAGAAAAGAGTATTTTAGTGGTTAGTGGTCCTGGTAGAAACAGAATTATGAAGGAGCATTGGGTTTGGGTGGGATGATAATTCCATATTGGACATACTGAGTTTGAGATGCCTGTAGCACATTTAGGTGCATAG